CGACCAAGGATCCAATGTGGGCACAACGATTGGGGCCGGACGATCAGAAAAGGGTGGTGTGGAATAATAATAATATGCAAGAAGGAAATGGCCCTTTGTAAAAACTCGGTAATTTTCTCCCCTACTTTGGAATCCTCCCTGGCCCAGCCCTAATTAAGTCTCTATTAAGTCGTCTGCATTTTGCTTTTTCCTTGCATCCTTAGCCCATGGATTTTCTGCCATATAATACCACTTTTATGTAAAGTTCGAAGCTGTGGATTATGAAGTGCGTCATGGCTCAAACCCGCCCGAGGGGCAGTTGGACTGTGCATAGTCGAAGAAAATCCCGACGTCCTATCAAAACACTCAAACGTCCTGACTTGTTGGCTCGTGGATGCCGCGGCACCAGTCCGGCTCTCGGCCCCATCTTTTTAATCGTGTCCTCGGAGAAGAGGAGGTTTCATTTTCTTCAACACCCGTCTCGTTTCTTTACTTTATGCTTCTTGGGCACCGGTGCCTCGGACGAAATACTCCGCGGAATGCGGTTCACTTAGTGGCCCTTTTCTGTCCACGTTTCTTCTTCCCTTTCCCCCTATGCGTACTATGTAATTATCTAGTTAATTGGCAAGAGGACGAATAAGGCTTACTGAGCCACTCTATGCTTCGCCTCCTTTCGCCTTACCTCGTGCCCAACGGTACTAAATTGAGGTCGCCGAGGTGCATGGTTTAGACGGCGATGTCTAACTTCGTAACTTGCCGTGGTGTGGAACAGTGGAACACTCGGGCTGAGACCCGTTCCAAGTTCCATTTGGCATATTGCTAAGGCTACGAGGATCTTCCCTCCTTCCCCAGTTCCAAAAGCTGCTGCCTGAGCTCTGGCGGAGCGTCTTGGGCCCTTTTCCGGCGGTTGCTTTGTAACATCAAATTTTCATGTGAAGAAAACTGGATCGATTGCGGTTCCGACCATAGATCCGTCCATCCCTATCTTATCTCTCAGCCCTTTCGTCATTTCAGATCATGAAGGGGAGAATTATCACGAACAGTCTGCATACTCTATCTGGATATGCTTCCTCTCTCTGCTTCGTAGTGTATGCCCAAATAGATCAAAAATCCAAGGGCTCTCTGCTCCCGACCAATCGTGGGCGATCCCTCGATCCTCCCGCGAAATGTCCGATCCTCGCGGACAACTCGGAATGGAGCCAGCACACACACAGCCTTTGCCAATTGCAGAATTGAGGGTTTCAATATCACCAGAAGAAAGGGGGACGAAAAAGAAAAGAGAAAAAAAAAAAAAACCCCAAAGCCCCCGTGCCAGCTGGAGCCGGCACACCAACACTACGTCTCAACCGGCTTCTTCCGTCTCTTGGCCCGCAAGCCTCAACGAAAGTCGCAAAATCGCATTGAAGTGAAGTGATTTTACCTAAGAATGGCAAAATGATTAATTCCAAAAGATTTCGATGTGCCACACCTAGACCTTCTTTAGTCTGGTTCTTGTTCTTACTCCAGGATTCCCCAGGGGTTCCAGTTCGGAGCCTCTGGGCTGGGGGGAAGAAGAAGGGGGGGTTAGTGTTAGGAGGGGGGGTGTCTCGAAACTTTATGCCGAATATGCGTAAACCTTTGGTATGTTCTGTTGTCTTTTCTGAACCTACACCATTGACTCTTTACTTCAAATTCCCATTGATGAAATGATGAATGAGATCGTAGAGGCGTAATAGGTTCCCCATAATCTGTCCATTTTCTCCTAGTGTCAAGGCTGCTGGAGGCTGGGAAACCAATAGGCTCCGTTGCCACAACTGAGCTTCCCTCTTAGCTTTACGGCAAGGCTCGAGGTCCAGACCTTTCCTTTTCCACCTTTTCCACCCTTTCCCCTTCGAGGCAGATCGACTTGTTTGACTTCTTTCCCAAGAGGCGCGCTTCAAGACACGCCCCGTCCTCCCTGAGACAGGTCCCAACTACACAACTCTATAATGATCAGTTTGATACTACGTATTCTGGGGATAGACAAAAAGTATGCTTTTTTTTTCTTCCTGCCCCATGACGTCTCCACGGCACCGATCCCTTCCTGTTCCATCCGTTCCTGTAACGGTGCTCCCCGCCAAACGCTCTTTCAGCGATACACTACATTCCGGATAGGCCCAGAATTGCCCTTTTCCACGCCATGGCTGGAGTTCGTTCCCCAACAACCTAGACGCAAGCCCCGTTTCGCCATCTCATCGGCCGTTCTTTTCGGGACTCTCCTGGGGCTTGACCTCTTGATGAGGACGTGTGGAGGAGGCTCAACCCGGTCATCATAAACTACGTACATGGTATTTGCCGGTTGTCGACATTGCGGCTTCGTTAGGCTTGGCTCCGAATGTGTGCAGCAGCTATTACTCATGGAGTGGGGCAGCCAGAGGGTGAGTCAAAGTACCTTGGCGGCTTATTTATTAGTGTGAATACATTGTCTCATAGAGTTCGGAAGGCCAATTCAATTGATTTTTGCAGCAGGAGCTGTCTTGGGGAAATAATTTCCATTAGAGCTTTCCAAGCATCAATTGAAGACCAGCAAGTTTCCAAAATATCAAATACTCGTTGGAAGTCCCGTTAACAACAGACATCAACTTGAATAGCTTCAAACAGCTCTTGTTTGAATGTCATTTTTTTTTTTTTTTCGTCCTTCCCCCTTGTCCAAAAAAAAAAGAAAGAAAGCGACGACGAAATCCCAAAAATGAATTTCCTTATTTTTACTAAAGACACGCCCCGCACCCTTCCGATACTTTCCTCGAATAGGTCGGACCCTGGCGATAATAGTCAATGTCGTACGACGTGTCGTAGCTAAGAAGCTTAGAGTGGCTGTTTCCCGAACCATTTGACCCCACCCTTCCGTTCTTCTCCTAATACTTCGTGCTTCGTGGTGTAAACTCCTTCGTAGGATACGCAGCACCAGAGCGGAGAGGCGACATTAACGCACCCCAGTTTACGGATGGCAGGAAGGGACACACATTGGGAGACGCTAGTACCACATACATCGTAACCGAGGACGCCCTCTGGCATCTCGCAGTGTTCTTGTGTCAGCGATAATGCCAGACCAACAGCAACAGCTTTCCCGTATCAGCTACCCGTGATTACGGTTTCCTGGACGATCCATGCATCTCCGCGCAGACGGCAAACAACAAAAAAACGCAAACGCAGACGCAGACATGCCCTTGTCCTGGTTCTTCCGTCTCTCGCCTCCAGCAAGCCTAGGTTCCTTCCCCGTGCACCCTTTCCCAATATACTTTGTAGACTTCAATGATTTCTGTTCTTTTCCTTCTTTTTCATATGATTATACTGAGAGCGCATGGCCGTCCCCTAGACCCCTCTAGACCCTAGTTCCTTGCAAGGTTTAATTCTGGACCGAAGTGTATTGAATATTTTATATTGCACCGGTATTATACCCAAGAGTCCAAGAGTCCAAGACTCCAAGGCCCCAAGACTCAACTCACATGCGTGCGTGGGTCGAACATGTAACTCCGTCGAAGTGAATTGCTGGGATGCCCCACTTTTCTGTTCCGGGCGGCTCCTGCATTTCTGTCCTTGAACGAGTAGATCGCCGATTCGAGAGCTCTTTCCGCCCTCGACCTTCCGGCACGCCCGCTTGCTCAACTAGCTTGTTAGCCGTGACCGTTATACCACGAGGGAAAGGACCAGCGTCAGCCAAGACGTCTTTTCTTTTTTTCCTCCTTTAGTACGAGGTACATTCACACCATCTTTTGTACGAAGTGAATGTCTCCCCGTTTCTATTCGTCTGTAGTTCTTTCGCCTTCTATTCGGCCTCCCCCTTGTCCTTTTTTTTTTTCTTTTCTTTTTTTTCTTCCATTAGCCTTTTCGTCACTCAGTCATATATCTTGGGCCCCTCCTCCCGTCTCTACCCATGCCCCGCTCCGGCCCCTCTTCAACTATGTAATGTACGACTAGCTACTGTAATCATACCATCACATCATCATCATCACCAGCATCAGTACCCGCCATCGATCAAGGGAAAGAACTCTACGGAGCCCTGTGCCAATCCCCAACCCCACACCGAACCCCGTTCACCTGCCTGCCTGTCTACCTCGCTACCTGCTTCCGTTTTCCTTGCCCCCGTCGACTTACTAGTCCCCAATTTGACCACTGTACCATTGTACCCTCCCCTTGGCTACTTTGCTACTTCGCTACTTTGCTACATCGCGTCTTTGCTTCTCTGCTTCTCCACTCCTCCCACCTCTGGGGCAAATCTCCAAGTACCGAGTACGAGCCAAGAGTACAATTCCCCGTTTCGCTGACTTCCTGGATCGCGTTCAGCTATAAGCTCGCTCGTCCCCGCCCACCCTTGACGTCTTGAACCGTTGCTTGACGCACCATCAACAAGACGCCATTCTATATCTAGTATATCTAGCTATACACCCCCCCAAAGCCCCCAAGCCTCCGACACCTTGACGACACGAACGTGCCAAGTCCAAGTACATCACAACCGTGCTTGTAGCTTATAGCTCATAGCCTTTCCACTCTCGACCACTCGTTTTGCTTGCCTCTGCTTGCCAACTTGTTCTTCCCTTGTTCGAGATCTCTCGAAGTTTCTACAAGGAACATCTCTGCATATATCTTGATCTTCTATACGACCACCAGACAATTGACGCCTTAGTCTGGAGCTAAATACCCAACTTCCTACCATAGGATAATATATCTCGACCCTGCCGGAACAGTTATCCTGAGGAAGCAAGACACCTTTCACCGGTCTCTATTCTCCCTCGCACACTTGGACGGAACAAAAGAAGACATACCACCCGCTCTCTTCTCTTTCAAAACAAACGCACGAGTTTCACCCAATCCTGCGCCACATCCAATTGGACTCCAGCTTCCCCTCCTACTTATAATTACTTCTTAATCTCAACCTTTTCTCTCCCCCTCCCGGACTTCAACCATAACCCTGGAGCGGTTAGACATCACCAAGTGAACTCGAGCTTCTTGAGCTGGCCGAATTCACTTCAACTATCCAAACTCTTTCTTCTTCTTCACCCCCAATGGCTACCAGGACCATGGACTTCTACTATCCTACGCAGCGAGATTCGGTACGTTCCTAGTGCTGACAAGCTACCGAAAGCTTGAAACCCTCGTGTGTGGCACGACTTGATAAAACAAATACTAACTTCCGAGCCGCCTAGATCTCGGCTGATTTCACAGATCTGGCTCTGTACGACCCCCAACAGGCCGACTTCAACACAGACTCGGCGGCACCCTCGCCTGTCTCTCCTACCTTCCCCGTCCTCACAAACGCATACCAGCTTCCTCAAGCTGCCGACTGGATCAACTGGTCTGGCAAGGCCGCTTTGTCTCCAGAATTCCCAAGCACCGACTCCTTTGACAGCCCCATCCTCTCCGCCCGATTCCCCACTTCAACAAGTCCGGCGGTGAATCCTCTCGACCTAGCGAAGCGGGAGACCGATACCATTGCCTTCGTAGATGGCAGCTTCGACGACCTTCAGACGCCTCTCTTCGACAACATCGACACGGCACCCGCCAATCCCATCTCGAGCAAATCCAGAAAGATCAAGGCCTCTTCGACAGCAGCGACCCGCAACAACGTCTTGGAAGCCCTCTCGCCAACGACAACAGACGAGGGGAGATATCCCTCGCGCAAGCGAAAGTCTCTCGCCTCTGCCTCGGAAACGAGCTCCTCGTCAGCTCGCTCCTCTCTCGCCCCTCCTTCACCGCCTCTTGCTCCCGTTACTTCTCGACGCACATCAGGAGGATCCTCCTCGACCACGGAGCGCGGGCAGCCCAAGAAGACGGCGCACAACATGATTGAGAAGCGCTACCGCAACAACCTCAACGACAAGATCGCCGCCCTCCGCGACGCCGTGCCATCTCTCCGCGTAGCCGCTTACAGGCTCGAGAATGGCCAGACCCCCGAGGATGCCGAGCTCGAGGACGACGTCACAAGCGAGCTTGGTGGGCTTGCTCCCGCTCAGAAGCTAAATAAGGCCACCATTCTCAGCAAGGCTGCCGAGTACATTCTGCACCTTGAGCGCAAGAATAAGGAGCTAGCTGACGAGAACGCCCTGCTGAAGCGGAGAGCGGGTGACGTTGACGCGGCGACCGGTGGTCTGGACGGTCTCTGGCGATGAGCGGATTGACCAACGTCAGATCTGTTCTCGTCTCTTGCTAGAGTCGTGCCTTTTTTTCACTATTTCATTATTTCCTTGTCTTTTCCTTTTTACCGATTTCCAGAGTTTTTAAGGGTAGGGGCGGATATTTGAATTTGAGAAAAAAAAGAAGAACATTGGTGACCCACAACCTTGCGAAAGAGCCATTTGTGTGTCAGGCGTTGCAACGATTGGAAAGATGAAAAAAGAAGTCCATTACGATTGGAAAAAAAAAACAAGTGAACATGGAAGCAGGCGTTTTTCTTTATTTGATCAACTGAATATCTTGTTCAACATTGAAGATATCTCGTTATCTTTAACAAAGTCATTGGGAATGAGTCGAGTCGAACACGAACGTTGTTTTTAATCGGAGCTGAATTTGGCGGAAGGGCGAACAGTTGTGTACATACTACGGAAAACGGATCGGGTCGGATGGGAATATAGGATTAGGAGATCCTATCTATCATTGGGAAAAGGAGTTGGAACGTGTTGATTATTTTCTACTTTCTTTATTTCCTTGTATTTTTTTACCATATCCTGTCTAGGAACTTTTATACCATCAAGCTCTACTCTAAATGATAATCTGTCCTCACTTCAGAACTTTCTCTCCTACTTGTAACTCAAGATGTGATGAGTCTATGGAGGTCAAATCGGCCATGGAGGAAATATGGGCAAGGTGGGGCTTAGACTTGTGTCGACTCCTGGGGTGAATTGTAGATGATGTTCTGAGGTATGGATAGGACTCTATTGACTTTTGAGACAATCTATGAGCGGAAGGATAATCCGAGAAAAACATTTGCGGGACAAAGAGAAGACCGAAACGGGCAAGGAAAAGAAGTTGACGACAAAAACTTGACACGAAAAAAAGAGAAGGAGACCTACCTCGGTGCAACCCCCCCGCTTCATTCTGATAACACCCTTGCGTCTGAGGAGGTCGAGCCCCATGGGACTCCTGCTCGGAGATCTCGGAAGGCTGAGTCGGAAGTGGGGCGGGATCGCCAACCGGGATCGGAGGTTTCGGTTCCGAGTGGGGCCGGATGCGCCGGGCTGGTTTGGTCGCGCCTCACATGCCTCGACTCACTCTTTCATGGAGCTGAGAAGGAAGACCTTTGTCTTTTTTAAGATTTATATTTTCCCTTTTCCTCAATTCGCGATTTTGTGTAGCTCGGATGGCGAAATCGAAACTAAGTAGAGATAAATAACCTCAAGGAAAAAAAATATCACTCCTTGGAAAAACTCACCTTTAAATAAGAATTTTCACCGCCGGCCCCTATACCAACCCCTCAGCGCCCGAACCGAAGCGCTATCATCAGGATACACCGTCGAGAACCCATCGAAACCGATATTCGACGGGTCTTGGGATGCAGCGACCGACTCGTCTGGGTCGAGATCGTTGGCGGGGCGGGAGTCGACCCAGTTTTGGATCCGGGAAGGGCTTTGTCCTCGCGGCTGGGTGACTTCGGGGACGTGGATGCGGGGGGGTTCGGGGGTTGGAGGTTGTGAAGTGTGGTTTTCGCGTTCGTGGGGAGCGGGTTTATGGGTCCGGGGCTTGGAGGATCGGTGGGATTTAGAGTCTGGCAGCTTGGGTATGTCGTGGAAGACATTCGCTAATGGTCCCGGCTGTAGTGGTGGGACCTTTTTGCCGGAGGCGGTGTTAGTTGTGCGTTTCTTGTGTGTGGATCTGGGTAGTAGACGGGGCATGTCGCGGAAAACGTTTGTCAAGGACATGGGTGGTCGGTCGCGTTGTTTACCACTGTCGCTGCGATGGGTGTTAGGCTGTTTATCGGAGGGATTCCCCAAAGGCTTGGAAAGCCTAGGATACTCACGAATCTCGGGAACGACTCTGGGTTCAGAACCTCGCCGGTGGTCCGGAAGGTCCCTTGTCCCCTCCTCGAGACGACACTTCCTTACCTTTCCACCCCCCATAGCGGCGACATCTCCTCTTGAAACGTCGGAGGCGGAGGACTGGTGCATATCCCCTCCCTCGTCAAGATCCGTCGTATCATCCGACTGCTCCTCGGAAGAGTGCACTCCCCCTACCTTATCATTCCCCGCGGCGACGCCCCCATCTTGTCCGTCGAGGACCTGAGCACGGCAAAGATCCCCATCGCCCTCGTCAAGGTCCGTGGTGTCACTCGAGTCCTCCTCGATCTGCCTCGCCAGCGGCTGCTTCTTATGCTTATTCTTCTTAACGCCACTTCGCCGACGTTTGTGCCTCCGGGCCTTCTGGCGCATCTTGTTTATGATGAGTTCTCGTTCCGATCGGGTGGCGAAGAAGGTGAGTGCGCAGGCGTCTGTGAAGGAGATGGGGTTGGTGCGATTAAGGGATTCCCCTGATTTGGAAGAGTTTGGCATTGTGTTTGTGGTCATTGAGGTCTTGATTAAGAATGAGGGTAAGAATCAATGATGGTAGAGAAGAAAGTAGTGAGGTAGGGATGGAAATGAGGATGGGTGGGCGGAGAATCAGTTTTTATATGCTTCCGTGATTCTCGGAGGGACTAGACTCGTCTTTGAGCTTGTTCAAGACTCTGTCTCCATCTTCCTATAATGCCTTGGACAAAGGAAATCTCCTGGTTTCTACATTCACGTCCATAGTTTCGTTTAACAAGCTTGAATCCAAACACAAGCACTGCTGGTATCAAAGTCAAGCTCAAGGTCAAAGCCCCCTTTCACAGAATCCAAAGCAAACATCATCCCCCTTTCATTAAATGGTCCGCTCTCTTGGGAAAGACTCCGAACAATACCTCGAACAATGAACGAAAGACCCCTAAATCCCCACCGCCTTCTCATTATGCAGAGTGTTATGATTTTCATCTGCACGACATCCCCTAGAAGAAATCCATCCGCCCCTCCGCCAACTATCTCTCTCGAAATCTCCTCTCTGTGGGAGGCTGAAAACAATCTACAAGAGAATTTCTTTCTTCTTCTTCTCCCTCCATCAGAGATCGTTCCTCACCGTCCATAACCGCTCGTTTAACACACCACCTTGTTTTATAAGGTTTTCCTTTGTTTACTTTCCCTTCATCCGTAGAGGGAGGCAGGAAGAGGGGCCTCTTGGATAGAGAAATTCTTAACAGGACTTCCAAGAGACTTTGTCGATGGGTTCTGGTGGGCCATTCCCTTTATAAAAAAAAAAGAAAAGAAAAGAAAAAAGAAATAAAAGAAAAAAACCTTTTGTCAAGACGGCCATTTCATATCAGAAGGGAATCTGCTGTTGCACACACATATCCACACACTCCTCTCCCTCCAAGCCTCCTCCCTTCCCCCCCTTTCGGACTCCAACCGTCTTATCTGACGGTTCTGGTCCAGATCGATTCCATCCATATATATTCGACCAGCGGGGACAGTCGAGGCACCTTCTTGTAAAAAGGCAACGGAAACGAGATCGAAGGGCCTGGTGGAGGAGGGCAGTACACTCCGAAGACATCGCCTGGCGAGATCACAACCATCGGCCCCAGGACAGAGAGGCCTCACTTCATTTTTATCCCCCCTCAGTCAAGAGGACAAGAAAACACGGACGTCCCCGGCCCCCGCCCGACGGCGTGCCCAGCCAGACCTAGTCAACGAGTTTCAGCTTCAAGGCAAGAAACACACTCTTCTCTCCTGTCTGGAATCCTGTCATTGAGCCAGGTATCATCGTAAAGTCGCTACGCATGTCTGCCATTAAACTCCCCGTGCGTGGAAGAACGGCAATTCAACAAGCGAAGGGGGCACGGAAGGGACTCGAATCTTTAGGACTAAACATTCATCTATTCTCGCCTGCGTCACTGGTTTTTCACGCTTTAGTAAAAAAGCCACCCCTTGCGTAGATTCCCGGGCCTTCCATCCGGTGCCGTCTTGGAATGTTTGCAAAAACCTCCTGTTCTCCTTGTTTTCATATCGCCCTTTACCAAAGACACATAATAAATAAGAAAAGATTTAACGTGAGCGACAGCAGCGCTTGCGAGTTGGCTTCTCTCAGCCCTTCTCGATGCCGCCATTTCTCTCCGTTCATTATATATCCACCCAAGCAACAGTCACACGCACTCAAACCTAGCCAAGGAAATGTGATATCTTCCCCTGTGCCATAAATAACGCAAACACCCCCCGTTTGAACCAAAGCCAAGCCGACCCAAGCCCTGCCGAACCGACCCACAGCCGTGAAGAAAAAAGCAAATGTCAATCAATGAGAAAAGAAAAGAAAACATGGGGTTGTGGACAAAGGAAATATGTATGTGATGACATGTACAAGTAGACATGGTGCCATCCACTGAGTGACGGGGGTATTACCATTATCTAGACTGTGGCTCCAGATATGTAGAGCCCAGTAACAAACGAGAGAAAACAAGATCGTTCGAAACGTCCGAGTCGGGCATATGCGAATAATAATAGAGAAGAAAAAGAAAAGAAGATAAACTCGGTAGAAGAACGGAACGATAGTTGGTATCCCGAAGCAGCTTGCCTCCTACCCATTGCTTCTTCAACCGCAGATTTGAACTCCAAGGGAAAAAGAAAGGAAAAAACTCCAGGCCATCTAATAATAAATGGCAAAATACTAAGACGGGGGTAGAGAAAAATTAAGACAAAAAATGACTGAAAACTGAAGGAATAAACACCTATATGGTTCCTTCGGTAACCAATCATATAATTAGTAAATAATAGGCAGCTAGCCAGCCAGCCGGCTTACTGAGGGCCAAAGTACTGGACCATAGGCCACTCCGTGGCGACCTGGCTGGGCTGTTGTTGCATACTGCCGTCATCCACCACTGTCGTGGCGAAGCTCTCCCAGTCCTCAAGCATCAAGCCCGTGCCGGCCTGGGATTGCAAGTAGTCGATGTTGATCATAGGAGCACCCGTCATTGGGTTGGCCTCGACAGGCGGTGGAGGGGGAAGAGCTCGTTCAAGAGAGGACCGTCTAAGTGGTTGTTGCGATACGGGACGAGTAGCTGGGTTCGTCGGACTGAACATAGACGGCTGCATCATCGCGGGGTTTCCGAACGTGCCGGGGAACGCCCCAGGCGGCGAAGTGGGCTCGCCTAGCATCATGCCGGGCTGTGGCTGGGGATGGGGAGGAATGTTGGTGCCAGGCGTCACCGGAGACAAGGTAGATTCGGGCGGCGTGGGATACGATGTCGCGTTCGCTGCGGCAACGGCCGAAGTCGTATCGACACAGCTGGCGGGAGGACAGAACGGACTCGTCATGAAGACGACGTCGGCAAGCTCGTACGCGACTCGTACAATAGCCTCAGCATCGGTGCTGGAGCCTGAGAAGAACTCGAGGAGATCCTGGAGCTGTCCGGGGCACTCGTTTTCCATGAAACCCTGTGCCCTTCCGGTCTTGGTGGGGTTCCAGCTGAAGTGAGCCTGCCTACCCGCGAATTCCCCCTGCTTCTCGTTGAGGATATCCTTCCAAGCCTCGTGGATGAGCGGTTGGTGAAGAAGGCCATAGATGACTCTTGAATGCGTCCAGTCCGCCTTGGTCTTGCCCGCCTCGAAATGCCTCGCTACGTGCTCGACGTGTCGTTCCCTCGAAGGATGAAGTGCCGCGCAGAAACCGCAAGCCCAGTACTTCCTCTTCCGGAGGTACTTCACGACCTGCTCTGAGTGAGGACACGTCTTGCAACCGTGGGATGACTTGTGGTGCTGGTTGAAAGTGTTAGCTCCCCAAAAGCTGCGGTTGCAGCCGGGTTCGGGACAGGGGTACTTCTTCCATCTCTCGTGGAATTCTTCCTCGTGCCGCTTCCAGTCGTACTTTCTCTTAAATCTCGTCTCGCAAGACGTGCACCAGTAAAAGTTAAGCCTGCCCGTAGGCCAACCAGCAGGGTTCTGAACACCGGGCGGTGACGTCGTACCTGATTGTGCGGATTGGAGAGACTGAGACTGTGAGAGAGGAGAAGATTGAGAGTAGTGGGTGGCGCCGGAGGAAGTTGAAGCGAAGGACCCCGTGTTGGACCAAATGCTCGCACGTCCCGATGATCCCGAGCTCGTCGATGAAACGGAGATGCGAGGCCGGTGGTGGTAAGGACCGGGTTTGGGCCAGAACACGTTCGAAGGAGCTGGCGCTACTCGTGATTAGCGACGTCAGCAGATGAATACAGAATACAGAGTGTGCTCCCTCCCGCCAACCCCGAAAGAAATCCCATAGAAGGAACAATATAATAAAACAAAATGAAATAAAAATGAAATGAAAGCTAGCACGCAAGCAAGCCTGGACATACCATTGGAAACTCCGTTATCAATTGGCCGCGTCGGCTGATTTTCTTGCTTTACGTCTTGAATGAGTCCATCTACAGGTCGCGCAGGCAGAGGCTGTTGTTGCTGCGATTGTTGTGATGGTTGCTGTTGTTGTTGTTGGCTGGTGTTCTGGGATTTGTCGGTCGCGGTGGTCGGGTTGGAGGTTGCAACGAGGTTGAAAAGGGTATCGCGAGATAAACCGAGGTCCATCATGGCCAGGATCTTCTGCCTGGCCTCCTTGAGGACCTCAGCCGGGGCCTCGTTCATGACGGCGGCGTTCGAAACACTGCGAGATTGGTGGTTCAATGATACCTGTTCGCGTGCGTGTGTTTTCGCTACCCGTTCCTCTCGATCGGGGGTGACGGGTGACGGTGGTAAGCGACGCGGCCGAGGGTGGTGAGACGAGGCACCGCGGGATTCAATTACCAGGCTCTCGGTTGACAAAGCTCGCTATCCCGCCTTCTTTCCTAGGTAGTTAATTGTCGAAGGTTTCCTTGCTGCTGGTAAATGGTCGATGGTGATGTTGACGGTGAAAGGCGGTTGACAGAAAAGGGTGGGCCGACGGTGAGAGAGTGACAGTGGTAATTGGATTGGTCGACGGCGTGGGCTGTTGAAGGGGGGGATGGATTGAGTAATGAAGAGGTCGCCGAGTTGGGGCTTGGGGGAAAGAAAAGAGAAGAGGGTAGCACTGCTAATGAGCTAGGGCGCCAGGGGAGAGAGCAGGGTAGCAGGGGAGCAGGGGGAGGGTTGGACAGGCACTTTGCTGAAGGTGGTTTAATTCGGATCCGCCCAGGGTTGCCTTGGTCCAAACGCGTAATAAAAAGGACCACTCGTAAATACGGGAGAGGCGCGGGAGTGGTCGAAGGGTGGAAAAAAGGGGGGGGGGGGGGGGGGTGATTTCAAGCAAAGAGGAGGTCAGTGTGTACCTCGTCGTCGTTGGAAGCGCCGAATGGGGGACGACGGAGACGAGGACAGCGGAGTCCGCAGCTGGATGAGCATGTACTGAGGTAGTGATGTAGTGTACTTCGTAGCGTCAAATCTCGTGGCCAGGCCAGCCAAGCCAAGTAGCAACAAGCCGAAATAAATGAAATCGGGCGAGGGATGCAAAAGTCGAAGTTGTGTAAGAAGTAGCTTCTGGGGTTCGGGATCTAGGATCAAAACCCACGCACGAAATTACCGAGTCCTGCAGAGTCTGAGTCTGCGAGTGTGGTACTTTATACAAGTAAGCCGAGTCGAGGTGCTCTCTCTCTCTCCTATCGTCCAAAGAGGCGTTGCGAGGGATGTATGGAGATTGCGTCGGGGAAAGAATCGATACCCAGCTCGAGGAATAAAATGAAGACGAATAGGAAGAAGAAAGGGAAAATGAAAAGGCTGTCGTCTGGAGTTCGTCGTCGAGAATATGAGGAAATAAACGTAATAAGTCAAACACAATTTGTGAAGAGCGTATAAAAGGGGATGAGGATTGAGCAGGAAAAGGGCAAGCCAAATATCAATTGATGATATATATGAATGTAAAAAGGAGCCCAGACGAGGGTAATATTCTCTTCCAGTCTCTTATCACCCCCCAGGAATGGTAACAAGACAGATGAGAATGAGAACGATGAATGACGAAATGGGCAGCCTGGTCGAGGAGACGAGAGAGTGGGAATTCTCCTCCTGTTATGTGCTTTCCTGGCAAAGGTGAAAAGGTAAAGATGAGGGTGAGGGGCGAAGGACGAGAGGGACGGAGACAGAGACGTCAAGTACGAAGTAGAGAAGGACTGGGGAGGACAGAGATGCTCTAATATCATCGACGTCCAGATCGTGCTATTCCTTACTAAGTGGGCTCACTCTTTTTACAAGTCGCAACCTGGCAGGAGCAACTGCCCGGAGACGGAGGCGGGATCGCGAAGGAGGGGGAAGGAACCCCAGAAAAGAAGAGTGAGGTCGATGTCCTGCGCCTTCCCTTCCCACTCCCGTGCTCACACGCACATTCACTTGCCCCTGCCCTTATTACCGATTACTCGTCCCTCGTACTTGCCTCGCCCTTCGGTTTTCTGGCTCCAGGTTGGGGAGATCGCAGAAGGCACGAACAACAACCTATTTCTCCAGCCTTCCTCCTCTGATATTGCTCTGTTACTCCCTTCACTCCCTGCATGCACGGGGTACATGCGACGGGATCACCTACTTTGCGAAATATACGCCTATAGTGTACCCCCAGCACCACCACATATAGCTGGTGTACGAAGTCGAAGGAAACAACGACACCCTCTTCCCAAGTCGAAGGAATTCTGGGTTCTCTTCGAAGCTGGTTGCTGGGTGTGTTGGTCCTGTCCGCTCCCATCAAATTCCTGTGCTCCCTTGAACTCACCAACCCCTCCCTCCCAAGTGAGAGTTGTCTTGGTCCCTTGCTGCACGAGGTACGAAGTATTATCCCTCCATCCTCTCTCTCCAAGGAAGTCTGCAAGTACAAAGTAAATGGACGTACACTCTGAAGTATACCTCATGGCAGCCAGGATTGCTGTCCTTTCTGGCCTGTGCGCAAATTCGCCCAGGGATCCGCAACCGCCCCATGACAACAAGAATGTACTTCCCTGTACCTCTCTGTCTCTGCTGTACCTTGGACTTCCCACTTCGCTCTAAGTGATCCCGAGGCCTCAAAGCTGCTCTTCAAGAATACTATACTTAGGTCGACGGGCATGGCGTGGGGCAGGGGTAGGGGTAGGGGAAGCGTTAGTAAAGTCTTGGGCCCTTCTTGGTTCAGCATGAGAGGGAGGGGGTATCTCCAGCACAAATGAGGCCTGGGCGAGGGGAGTTACGGGGCAAAGGGAGGGGTGTGGTGGGTGTGTGGAAGATCCCATCAATCGACGAGTCCAAGTCCGATCAGGGAAAGAGCTTGCACGAAAGCTCAATTGTAAACTCAATCGTTGTGAGCTGTGAGAAAGGTCCCCTCCAAACTGGCTTCGAGACTGGAGACTAGAGACCTCAAACTTTGAAGCTGTCCTCGAAAGAGAGAAGGGATCGAGGAAGTGGACCAGAAAGCGGAGGCATTAACACCCTCCAAGTAACCCAAGTGACCCCAGCACACTACACTACGAAGTATGTCAATTCTCATTCCCGTTCATTCCCGTCATCAGACGTTGACTGATGGCATCCACTTCGTTCGCTTGTTTTCGCTTGCCCGCCTGTTTCTCTCTCATTGACGTCGCTATAATTAATCAATCAATCAATCCCAACATATATTCCTGTCCTCGCAGATGTATCTACACTATCCTTCTGGCTTTCTTGCCTAACCCGCCCCGGCACAGGTGTGTTAAATTGGCACCTCTCCACTCCATCCCGATTTGGAGTCCCAGGCTATTCATTTGTTACGGTCAATACCCTGGTAAATCGTTCTTTGCCCAGCCCAGACCAGCCTTCAGTGATATTTCATCTTTTTTTTTCTTTTTCTTTTCTTAGGCCCATTTCGAGGCTATTTATCAGGCGGTGTCCTTCTGTGGCAAGTCCGTTTTTTCTTTCTCAGGAACTGCACTAAGCATCGAGAATCAGTTGATCCACTTCGTGGCTTGTAGGCGAAGAAAGCCTAGCAGCGAACTAAACCCAGAGCTGGTGATATGGAGATACGCCATACGTCATACCTGAAGGAATCAAACTGGATGAGCTGTTCGTTCTCGCTAACGCTTCAACCTGATTCCGCGTTCAAGGCTCTCAGCTTGGGAAAATTTTCGCAGCTTGAGGCTTCACGTCTGTAATTGCCCGTTTAAGGGATATCAATTTGATCAGACCTGACTAGCAACAAGCCGGACGCACAGCCACGTGTTCGGAAGATCGACCCAAGAGCTAGTCTGGACGCCTTCCGGAGTATACCGCACACTATTGATCAATCCCGAGTTGAAGAGTCAGTACCTGGCTGGGAGATGGCCTCGCGCTACCTGAGAAGGTTTGATCATGATTGTATGACGACAAGTTAGATAATTCTTCTCACGTTGATAGCCATCGAATTACTCCGAGGTGGTCTCCACAGGTACAAGGCGCTGCACTGTAGCGTGCCACTGGACAGACATCCTTTGTCCAAGTATCAAGTCCAATGGAGCGCATCGGTACTCATGCTCTACTGTCTAGGGTTCTCACTGTAAGGGGCAAGACATTCCATGCACTGACAGCAGTAGCACGCAGTAGGCGGGAAAGAAACCTCCGATGGGAAGAACAACACCAATCCTGCTGATTTCCGACAGAGTACTTCGTACATGCACTACTTGGTACTTGCAGTGATGTGCACAAGTCAGCAAGAACCACCTCGGTACTGAGATGGATCAACGACGTACAACTACGTTAATACACAGACTTCGTACATTCCTCCTGGAAATTGAACGCACTGACCGAAAATCCAAGGCCTCCATGTGCGGTACATCGTATGGGATAGGACGACCAAGGCATCGAAGTTGTTTTGAAACACTAGAAACATTTCCGAATCGCGCCAGTGAGGCAATCGGAGGGCTACAATGACGGAGGGCGACATCACCTCGCCCAGCCCCTCTTGTTCTTGAAACGGCCCTTTACCATCAGTGCGTCGCTTGCGCCTGTGGTGTCGGTGTCGGTGTTGCAGCGTTGCAATCTCCTTTTTCCTTTCTCTTTTTTTCCCTCCATGCTCAGGTGCGAACACCAAAGCGTCGGGAATGTGCCGTCCCTTGCTCGCCGAATCAGTCTCGAAGAATATGCCTCTACTAGTACTAGTTTGCCGGAGAGCATGATATAAAAACGCGACGATAGGTGCTCCACGCCTTTTCTACAGATTTTGCGATTTAGCGTTGGAAGTGGGATTTCACCATGCCTCCTTCCCGCTGGGCAGCAGCTATCCCGCTCCTTTAGGAAAGAATCGACAGAAGCCACTGCCTGATGTACACTAAGTATTAGCCTGACATTACCTCGTGCACAGCTCGAAATATCTTGTCCACTGGTGTACTTCGTACGCACAAGAACAAATGCAAGGCAGGGCAGTTAAACCGAATGTATCCTTGCGTAACCATATGTGACCTTTCTATAAAGGTCTGGTGAAAAGTACAAATATATACATAAGAAAACACCCCGCAACCCAATGCAGCTAAGATTTTGGACTCAGCCAGTGGGGCACACCCTTGGACCCCTGTCCCCTCGTCATTTCCCATCTTGTGAGGAGGTACGAGGTACTTCGTACTCATCATACAGCCTCTCTCTGCTTGACTGTGCTTACTTCCTACCCTCTTGCACTACACAGCTCCAATTTAGCTTACTTGGTGTATGCATATCCT